GGAAGGAAGGAAGGAAGGAAGGAAGGAAGGAAGGAAGGAAGGAAGGAAGGAAGGAAGGAAAAAAGGACATAACCTGAAATCTTTTGATTTTCTGCTCTGGTTAGGAGTGATTATATAAAAAAACACACAACTAAACTGCCAGTGGGAGAAAATGAATTCCTAATTTCCACTGTCTGTCCCACTAATTAAGGTCACATGTTGCATACAGTAAAATAAAATGAATCTAAGTGTCTTTATGCATAATTACAGTACTGAAGCATGACATAAATACTTTGTGGAACAAAAATAAGGGGAAAAAATGAGGACAGACTGATGGGACATTTTTGTTGATTTATGGATGTTGGTGCTTAATTTTAGGAATTTGTCTTCCACTTTGCCTTTAGGTTTTTTAATGTTGGTTCATTAGTAACCCATCCAGAGAACTTTATACAGTAAGACATCTAGGAAATGTACAAATGCATCAATGAACAGACAAAAATCACAATTTTCTCCAACAGTCTTAATCCTTCCTACAAATGGGAAAAAGCTGGCTAGGAAGGACATATGCCTAGTGACCAGATATGTCCTTCCTCTTGGAGATGCTTCCACTGGACGGCGAGTCTTTCGAATACCTTTGCAGTTCGCCATTCAATTTGACATGTTATCAAGTCGCTGTCATCTCCTATTGACCTCATCAACGTTTTTTTCTCAATGTTCATTCTATGGTCCAGGCCTAGCTGCATTACTGACTGGGTAATGGTCCTTGCTCTACTTCAACCAGCAGCAAAAATTATCCTCTAGGAGCAGAACATAAGAGCTGCCCTACCAACTTCATATGAGCACCTTCACCGTGGCATCTTTGTTGGACTACCCAACATCGACCTCCATCAAGGACCACAAAAAACAAGCATTTGAATTCAAACCCAGAGTCATACTTAATGTTGTTGGCCAAAAGCCATTCTAAGAGCTACATTTAAGTCCCGGGGGAATCCAAAAAGACTTACCGGAACTCCATAAATTCCAGGGAATCCAGGAACACCCACTGGACCCTAAGGAGATAAAAAGGAATGCAGTTAAGTATTGGTCTGGTCATTACAGCTCTAAGTCTACCCCATAAGGCATCCTAGCATAGAACATTAGATATAACATCAAGGATGGACTTGCTATAGACCAGGGGTGTCAAACCTGATTTCATTGAGGGCCGCATCAAGGTTGTGTTTTCTCTGGCAAAGGGCTTCAGGGGGCTGTTGCAGTCAAAAACGGAGCCTGGGAGGACTGTGTGTGGCCCTTGCAAGTTCCATTTTCACTGGCAGAAGCACTGCAGGCCGGTCCTTCACTGTTTCCAGGCAGCCCTGTGGGCCAGATCTAAACACCCTGTGGACCAACCTTTGAGTTGTACACCCCTGCTATAGACAATCTTTTTGCATTGTTGCAGTTGTACTTTAAAGGGACTAGCGATGGCTCAGTGGCTAAGATGCTCAGCTTGTCTATCAGAAAGGTTGGCAGTTTGGTGGTTCAAATCCCTAGCGCCATGTAATGGTATGAGCGCCCATTACTTGTCCCAACTTCTGCCAACCTAGCAGTTCAAAAACATGTACAAATGCAAGTAGAAAAATAGGAACCACTTTGGTGGGAGGGTAACAGCATTGTGTGCACCTTTGGCATTTAGTCATGCTGGCCACATCACCACGGAGACGTCTTCGGACAGCACTGGCTCTTTGACTTTGAAACAGAGATGAACACCACCCCCTAGAGATGGGAACAACTAGCACATGTGTGGGAGGGGAAGCTTTACCTTTACCTAGTTGTATTTTGGTTCTCAGTCATGACTAACTCTTTGTGCAAATGCTTTCTGAGAGTCCCTGGATGGTGGGCAAGCTACAGATATGTCAAATGAAGTGATAAGAGAAAGTCTGTGAACCATTTAAAACATTTCATAATCCAGCAGCACTGTAAACTACAGTGAGATCAGTGCTTCAGCTAAGTCCTATTAATAAAGAGATTTTTGTTAAACAAACACAGACCAGTCTTCCTTTCCTTTTGAGTCATACCATGAGCTAAAATAGCTTTCCAATTGTGGTAAAGATTCACACTTGTATACACAATGCTGGGAGGTTCTAAGCGCAACTATGCTGAGTCCCTAAGGGATCACAGCACCTTGACCCTCCTACTGGCAGGTTCTGATGGACACTTTGGAAGTGGCACATGATTTGCACAGCTGTAAGAAATAACTTTTAGTGAAATGCACACACTAATATAGTCTGGGTGTACATAGATAGATGGATGATGTTGAAGATTAGACAGATAGATGATAGATGATAGCTAGATAGCTGGATGGATGGATGGATGGATAGATAAGATAGATAGATAGATAGATAGATAGATAGATAGATAGATAGATAGATAGATAGATAGATAGATAGATAGA